ACAAGTGCTACCATCGTTGCTGGATGGATAAAAAAATTCAACTGTAAGGAGACTTCCGAGGGGTGTCCTATGATTTTGCAACGACTACAAAACTAAAAAAAATTGTCTAAAAATACGGAAAACTATTCGGATGATCTGGCTACTTGTTTGTATAGGTTTTTTATAGAGGCGGTTCTGATTCTACCAGTTGCGATAGACGGCTTTTTCTAGAAGCCGAGATATTCATATTTTTGGGGGGTGTCCTATGATTTTGCAACGCACTGTAGGTCCAGTAGACGGGATTTAGTCAGACCGCCAACTGGCATTAAGCTTGTTTTCCTCTAAAAGAAATGAAACAATGTTGTGCTCTGTACTTACTCATGGTCTCTTCTAAACACAACGCTATTGAGTTTCCTAACAAGTCCTGCCGCTTTTTTTACAAATTTGGTCTTTCTGCTAGAACTCCATGGTTGACCTTAACCTTGTCCAGTTTAAGCCCAAAAATTTCGAATGCACAGACACTCAAAATCTTACTTAGCGTCTAGAAGAAGTAATGGCCACTTTCGAAATGCAAGATTTCAGCAGACTGAATTCTTTTTAGCAGAAATTTTTTTAGAGAAATGTGGAGATTCCTGTGGTGACAGGAAACCTTATGACTTGGACCCAAAATGGGGTCTTAAATTCGACTCAATCAATAATGAAATAAAATCGAAACATGTGTTTGAATTTAGTAGGAAAACCTTATACGAATGTTAGGCAAATGCTAAAGGCATGCCCCAGGATCACATTGGTGTGGCTCTTGCACACGAATGCGAATGTATTGGTGCGAAATGGGCCGGCAGTAAAGAAAAAAGGAAAAGAATCCGTCGAAACGCTTAGGTTAAGGGCTCACTCACCTTCCTAATCGGCTGTGCTAAGGGAATGAGAGACTAAGCGCGGAGAGGAGAGTATGAGGCGAGAGAGCGCTACAGATGAGAGAGCGCCAGACAACAGCCTGAGAGAAAAAAATCTGCAGCTTCAGCAGCTTACTTTGCAAGGCCCAAGCGCTCTTGTCGGTTGGTTTCCGTGCACGGGAACGCCACATTTGTGATTGTCCTCTAGGGGTCTATACTACAGACCGAAGGAAGCGTTCACACGACCTCTGCCTGGGTTGTGCCTTTAGAGAATGACGTCTGAGAAGAATTCACTTCAAAGAGCTTTTCAGGAAACCTAAAAGCGAGATGTGCAGAAGAGGTTACATGATGGCTACATACATGATACTTCATTGATCGATTTCTCCTAGTAGAAACAGAGTTGGAGCTAGTTGCCGCTTTGATTAGACTTTGCCGGACTTCCGAATTTGCAGGCCTGTGATTCAACAAGTTTGCATTGTACATAGAAGAGAAGTAAAAGTTTTGTAGAGCAGACAGTTCTCTTTCGAAGGGCATACAGCATGATGCAAAAGCTGTGACACTACATAGATGGAAAATTTCCACCTGAAGAAATACGATATTGCCTATCGGGCAGCTTCTTAGTAAATATATGAAATAAAAATGAAAAAAAGAGCCAATGAGCAAAAAAGGAGCAGAGCCAACGTTGACCAATAAACGTGTTCCACCATAACAACCTGTATGGCACAGAAGAAACAACACAATATTCGAAATGCCCAGGTTCCAGGAAAACCGAACATGGAATTTATTTGGAAAAAGAACGTTCTATCGTCTTTTTATTGTGACGTTAAGTGATAGGAAAATCACCCTACCTCTATGATGTCAAAACTGCAACACGTAGGTCCCCATATATCCGCTCGCATGGACCCTTCCCTCTTCTAAAATCAAGTGTAAATTTTGGAGGTAAAACAAATTAGCGAACGAGATTGAATACATCCGGAATGTAGCCAGAAACTTACCAAAAGTGGTTTCCGTGAACTTTCCTTTGCTCTGTAAGAACAAAATTGAATGTGCCATACACGCCTCATTGATAAAAATCTGTAGAACGGTCGAAGATATTCTGAAAATAAGCCATTTTGACACAGCATAAGTATAGTAAAGGACAAAGATAAAGATCTGCGTTCTATCCGTTAGATACGACACGCATTTAATTCGTTGTAAATGTTGCGAGAGTTGGGACGCGATGTGCCTATAAATACGGCGGGGCCAGCCGATGTACAAATCCGAGTTTTAATCCTTCCAGACAAGTCTGTACCAATTATCTGACGCCGGAAGGATGGAAAACTTGGTTGGTTTGCGAAGCACGACCCAGGATTCGACACCCGGACCGCGCGCGTTTATCGCGTCCTTGCCACTAAACCACTTCCGCAATAATAAACAATAATACCAGTCACTTGATTTTGATTCTGGCACATACACAATAGCCTCGAGCCTAGTATTTTTAAGGTGAATAAAGCATCAAAGTGAATAATCACTAGTGTAATTCTCAGCACGAATTCTGTCATTTGCCGTAGATGACTGCCACACTTCAAACTTCATTTGCTCTCTTTTCATATCCTCCCCATCGTTGCCACTCATCTACATCTATATCGTAGGATGTCATCATCGCGAATGGTCAGGGCCATAATGATTGCCCACAGCACCACTGATTCGAACAAATGTTTACTTCACACATTTCTGACTGTTGAATGAATTAAAGACGTCTATCTCACGGATTACTTGAGGAGTTCCGCCTAACCCGCGCTCTTCTCTATTTTTATGTATTTTTTGCTTTTATAATATGTGATTTTGCTTTGGTAAAGCAGGACATTTTGGCACACGACATGGTCTTCAATTGGCACGGTTGGACGGGGTTGCTGGTTCGGATCCTCGAGATGCGCAAATTTTTGCGTTTCTTGTTGGCACTTCCAGATCTCGATCTCGAGGCTCCAAGTTGCATAAACGCCATAATAGATGTATTATTCATGATCAGAACCGTTAATAACCCCGATGAGGTAAGTTTTCACCGAAAGCAGGCAAACAAAGTTGTAACGTCGAAATGGCGCCAGATAGCGGCGGCTCCAGGGTTTGCCTTCAAATGAGAAGATGCTGCTAGATAAAATATGGACGCACGGCGCATTTTAGAGACTCCGTGATTCTCGGCGTTTGGTTGGAGCGACAATGCTCATCCTACTGTCAGTTTTTGGAGAGATCAGGGCGACGGTGTAGCAAATTCGCGAAGCTTAGAAGAACTTCGAAAATACGAAAGGACGGGTAGGGATTTTTCTGCTCGACGCAAGCTCATTTTAAATTCCAAAAATCGTATCGCTTTAGATACTCACCATTCACTGACTTGAGGACTACTTGGCTTACGCAGGCGACGACGTATTGGGCATCGGTACGAGAAATCGGCCAGGTTCTGCGATTACTGTAATCGAGATACCCTCGAAGCATGAACTGAGCGTGTTCTCGATAAAGTTGCCAACCTTAAAATGATTTATTTCGTCTTGAAAGCAGCAAAAGTTTCAAGCAAGAGGTTTTGTTTCTCTTCTTTTCAGTGCGTCAGTTAGGAGACGATTACTTTTCCTACGGACAACTTTTCATTTTTGAGCATTACAGAAATGAAGCATCGGCTTTTAGGCTGAGCGAATTCCGGTGAATACCTTCAAGAATTTTTGTGGACTTGAATTCATAAATCCGCCTCCAATATCGAGGATACTGATAGGATGGCCCAACATCCGACCATAATCAAGAAGATTCCGGGCGTTCGCAAGTGAAAGTGCCAATGGTTGGCAGTTTTCGACACCGGAACCGATATGGAAGCTAGAAAAAAATAATGTTCATTAATATCAACGTAATGATTATTTTATTCACCATTCCTTTGGTTGAGAATGGGCCTCTCTGAAAGAGAGCGGATAGCGCCAAACGGTTTACCCATGAAATATCCATTATGTTCTGAAGTGCAGTAAAATGGTGCACTGGCAATGCTACGCCTGCGTCCCAGTGCTCAAACCCTGGATCGAACTTCACACAGGAAAACCATCTTGACTTTCGGGGTTCATCATTTGGAGATAAGACATGAAAGGAGGAAACACTCGATGCATTCGGGCCATAAGTAAGTGGTTGCCTCGCCAAGCCGTTCTATAGGCCTCAATGCGTTCAAATGCGCACGAATTCTAAGTGGAAGTAGAGTTACTGGCGCATCTCAGAAAGGTATCCTGCTTCCTTTTTTCTATATCGGGACGCGAAAATAACAGGGATTTTCAGGAGCTACTCGCAGAAACATCCAACACTGAAATGTGCGTAAAACTTAAAGATGGCTCCCCTTATGAAACATGGATTTGGATGAAATAGCCTTTTACCTGATTCCATGGATTTTTGCTCCAAGTCTCGCTGCTTCGTGAAGTATGAGCTTGCTGGTGGTTTCATCAGCTCCGAACTTTTTGTTCAAGTCTACAAGCGACTCAAACCCCGATACTCTGATACGCAGTATCAGCCTGAATTACCTTATTAAGTACCTTTATAGTGTAATGTGTGAAATCCTGTTTTGATGGTAGTAAGATTTCAGAGATATGCTTTGATCAGCTTCGCCTTTCAAAGCTCCGAGTCAAGCCACAGGTCCAAAGCGTAACAGAGGTTTACTGTTGGAAGGTACAAATACTTCACTGGGGGGTAGATACCCATCCAAGCTGGATTGGAGCGTCAGCGGAAAATGAAAGTGTTGGTGGGAACAGGCGGCAGTGGAATAAAGGACAATAGAATTCCAGGAAACAATGCCACCGAAGAAACCATTGACCCCGAAAACCATCTCTTCTTCTGTTCACTTTGAGCAATGTACGCTTGCAAGGAAAAAACACTGTCTGTCATAAAAGGAGCAGTGCCACGAGAATGGAGATTAAAAAAAGCTGTCAAACGCGGTTAATAGAAGTCAATGGTTCAATGGGAAGTCACTTACGGGAGCAGCTCTTTGAGCAGCAGTACGGTTCACCACACATTTGGACTCACACTTCGTTGAGGGGCAATCTGTCTTACTGGCAGTCCGAGGTTCTTAAACCAACTGGCGGGGAACATGCAGTGCGCTTCACTGCTACCTGGTGACGTTCTAGCACACGCTTTTGACATCGTTATGTCCCATTTGGAAAGATTATTACAGTAACTATGCTTACATCGCCTTACTAGTAGTGCTGACAATTTTCCTCAACTCTTCGACGCTGTCAAAAGTCATTAATGTGACTCCGTTCCTGATAGCATACTCTATACAACGTCGACTTTTTATTGGGTGAGCAAGAATAATGTCTTCACCATCTGCTAGTCCATTTGACAAGATCTGAGATGGAAGGATTTGAAAAATATGTAACAATATTTCTTCGAATAAGACAAATCGCTTACCGTATCCATCTCTTGAAGGCTTGCACAATCAAAGCACGCTCCATGGGCTGATAGCGTTCTCAGGATGTTGAGGTCTGGGTTACATTTGATGGCGTAGTATGGCTGAAGTGTTTTTTTTTTCAAAAAGTATACGGTACGAAGTGAGGTCATTGGTGGGAAGGGATATTCATGGGGATGAGCAGTCCTTCGAGCTCGTTGCTGTACTCAACGATTGCTGCAGGTGCATCAAAAAGCCGCCACTAGATTAGGAGTTTACATGAAGACGATTCAGCATTCGGCGTTGATCGACCATATTTTTTTAGGCTACGTCACATCTGTTCAACGAAATTTGAATGCGACATGACTCACTATGAGCTTGGATTCAGACCACTAATCGGGCCCCAAATGGAAGGTCCCTTTAGCTTGAGCAGATTTCTATCAGGATTCCACCCTGATCAGAAATGCGTCACGAATCTGCGTTAGAGCTAGGTGGCGTTAGCGGAAGTTCAGAATACATGCACCTCTGACCCTCCTTGCGGGAACTCCTACTGAAGACTTCATCTTCGAAGAGTTCAGAGAAGGAGATAGGAAGCGTGATTGGGAGTAGTTATTAGAGGAGATTTCAACGAACCAGGTGCCATAGCGCTGACATATGAATTGATAACCTGTAGGCTGTTTCTCAGCCTTGAGGAGGAATTCACGCTGGAAAGGCAACCTATTTCAAATTGACCTAGCGATGGTGAGTGGTAAAAAGGATAAAGGATAAAGCATTTGCCGTTGATCAATCCCTTTTTGGGATGCGGCACGCATTCTACTTCCATTTGTACATTCGTAGTGGCGTTTGAATGCGATGTGGCCTATACAATGACTTGCGGGGGCCAGCCGATGTACAAGTCAGTGTTTTTATCCTCCCAGACAAGTCTGGTACCAATTAACCGACCCCGGAGGGATGGAAGGCTTGGTTGGCCCGGGCGACTCACGACCCAGGATTTGATCCCCGGACCGCTCGCGTGGTAAGCGTGCCACTTGCCACTACACCACCCTGAGTGGTACAATAAAGAAGGAAAAACCATGAGAAACGGCCCAGAACCCGAGAAATGGGACCCCTTCCTTGCCCGTTGATTTGAGCATTGATGCGACTCTCATCGCTGTGCCCTCTTCAACACTACGCTCTCTCACCTATCTAATCACTCGCCACGTATAGACCTGCGGCGAGTGATCAGATGATCGGTGGGCGTGCACTGGCCCACCGCGCCAAGATTGAGCCTTAATAGGTCGCCGAGGTCAACTCCTTCGGTGCCAATTGCGCTTCAGTCCGCACCCTTAGGAGGTCCGCGGGTCCCTCAACTAGGTGAATTACTCCTTCTTCGACCTTCATTCTAATCGTGAATTCGTCCTTTAAAGGCATCTTCGAGATTCTAATCACTTTTCGAATATTTCCAAATTTTTCCTTCTAATGAACGTAGTGCTTTTTGGCGCTTATCTGATGCACAATGATTCTGATAGTGTAACGGAATTGGGGGGTAGGTAGATACAGCCTTCCTATGTGTATCACCTGCTTTTCACGGCAAATTTGATTTCTACTGCCGATATCGACATGTGTCATGACGTTTCGTCATGATGCGACGAAGAAATCAAGGTGGATCCTTGACACGTCATCCTATTGATTAACTAACTCAAAACCTGCGTTCAAATTGCCGCTGGCCGCACTGCCAGTCCATTCCAACCAGCCATTCCAACGGACCGCCCCCTGGCCTGGGGGTAAATACCACCTCGTCAGAGACTCCTGCAGCTCCTTCGCGGTCTTCGCCGGTCTCCTCAACTTCTCCAGTCGTCTCCAGCGGTCTCCAAACAAGCGACTCCGGTCGCACAATAAACCTAAGGCAACAACGCCAGCATGAACCAAATAATCAATAAGCACAAGGAATCAATAAGGTACAGCCAGTGGATCATCCACCGGCCAAGGCCACCAATCAATATCACTAACCAAGGACCACCAACTCACACCTCCAAGCCACTATCGACCAACACCTTAAGGCACAAATCAATATTGAAGAACCCAATACGAGTTCAGAAGTAAGGGCTAACCAAACATAACGTTAACTAATGTAGGAAATAAAATAGAAATTGTATAAGTTGCGATATGTGTTAACAATTGCTTTCAGGAATTGTGGTATAAGAGATGTTAATAAATGTTAGTATCTACAAGTGTTGTTTCAATAAAATTCAATATAAATAGAAGTCGCATCATAGGGCAATCTACCACTCTACCCGTCCGAAACATCACTTTTACCGCGGATTGGTCATTGATTTTAAAATTGTATAATTACAAAATAAGCCCTTGACGGACGGCAATGCCCTATTCCAAAGATCCAGGTTGCGTTTAACCACGTCGAGGTCAATGATCGAGAACGGATCTTGGATCCCCTGAAAACCGAAATCTGTCTCGTGTCTACGCCATTTGACGGATTTCTTTCTGCTCACTTTGTTATCGTAGCTTTCCGTGATTCCCCTCGCATAGTCCTCCACCTCGAGTGTACCGTCATGTTGGTAAACGCCACCTTTCATTACCTGAATTTTCAATTTTGCTTGCCAGTCACCTTTTTGTGATGAACGCGCTTAAACTTGGCGCATTACCCAAACGATAAACGAACACAAAAATGTTATTCTTTCGTCTGGCGGTAGGTGAGACGACCTTTTGGCTATCTGACGCCATTGCCCACACTATTTTTGCCTTGTATATGAAGTATGAACTAGTAGCATACTAAACTGACATCTTACGACATGCATAATGTGGGTGGATAAGAATTCAGATTCAAATACATAGAAAAAGTCTTGTTTCTACAATAGATTATTTCACTGAACCTGATCTGCTCGGTAAGCGATTGCATCCCGATGCAGCCGTACACTCGCGAGAAGAGAACGGATGAGGGTAGAAAAGTGACACACAGAGGATCTCCGCCAAGCGTTTGGCACCATGCGTGTTGATAGATCTGGAGAAGGCAGCATGGAAGAAAATACACGCCTCTTGCTTTTGTATGCTGACAAATTTTGGAAAGTATTCTGGTAACAAATCACACCGCTGCCCCATAACGGCACTTTCACCCACAAATTTCCCAAAAACCTAAATCTGAAGATCTTCTCGTTGAAAACATCATCAGGAGGCAATGCTTTTACAAGGGAGGTCGTTCAGGGTGTGCCAAGCTTTTTCAAAACGGTTTCTTGCATGATATAGGGGCACATGCGGGAACCACAGAACCATGGTTCCGTTTTTCCTGAACGGCCCTCTGAATACCAGAAAAGGGGTCCCTAGTTCGATTCCTCGTGGTGACAAATTTTTGCATTTCGAGTTGACGTTCAAAATTCGCGCAAAATGGAGTTAGCATGAATAATTAGTACCATATTCATGATTAGGACCGTCAGTAACCCTTACAAATAGACTTCGCTGCTCCGAAAAACTGTCCGGACCCACACACGCTCTCGTGACCTCACACCCCGTGGAGCTGTTTTCACGTGCGACCCTTTTCGCGCAGTTTTAAACAGTAATTGTTTTGTAAGGTACGGCGGTCTCTCATCATGAATTAGGTAACAACCTCATGCTAACTTCCTTTTGCGCGAATTTTGGAAAAGCGTCAACTCAAAATGCAAAAATTCTGTAACCCATGAGGAATCGACTAGGGACCCTCTTCTCTGGATATTCAAAGGGCCGTTCAGAAAAAATGAACCATGGTTCTGTGGTTCCCGCATGTGCCCCTATATCATGCGAGAAACTATTTTGAAAAAGCTTGGCACACCCTGAACGACCTCCCTTGTTAGCGAAGGTATTGGAGGGATGTTCAGCTGTCAATCCTACACTACTGAGTAGTGTTCACGAAATTTCCTAATGAGAACGACTAGGAAAGTTACATAGTGAATTGGATAGGTCCTACGACAGGTTGTCGCTTAGGGGGGGGGGCAGTGGCGCCTTATCAACAGCGTGATGCCACCGGAACCCACGTCCAGTTCTGAGTTGCATCTGCGTATCAGACGTGGAAGGTGATGCATGTCGCACCGTGGCTAGAGTATAACGGTTTCATCATGTCGTGTCACATTTTTCGTGCTGGATGTACCCTCTATTTCGGAAGACGAGAAGAAAATCGAGTGCAGACCACACACCATAAGAGACGACGGCCAAAAAAAAAGCCGCTTTTCTCTTGGCCGTCGTCTCTTATGATGTGTGGTCTGCACTCGATTTTCTTCTCGTCTTCCGAAATCGAGTATACCTCATTCCAAGCAGCCGTAGATTCTTACTGGTGCCTTGTGTGGGTCTTCCGTTAGATTACACTTCTAACCACTTCTATCTCCGACCTTATCGTTGATAACGCAGAGTTTTCGGTGATCCGATGTGGCAAGCGCAGCGGATCGCTTCCTTAAAGCTGAAGCTCGATAGCACTGGCGTATAGCGCGCTCCCGCGTGGGGGACATTATCCAACGTCTCTCTCTGCTGTCCACCGGACTTGTCCACATATAGCGAAAATATTAGGTTGTCTCATAAGTAGTGGCGCATTTTTTCAAACGGAAATTTTTCTTGTGAACCTCTAATGTTTTACAATGTTTCATATACCATTCGATAGGAAATTATCTGCTCTACAAGAAGGTATGTACCCTTTTTTTGATTGTTGCAAATTGTTTGAGTTTTAGGCATGCAAAGTGGGAGCTTCAGACGACGAATTTTCGCCAAACCGACAGCTGACCTAAACTTTATACCTAAAAGCTTGTCTCGTTTAATTTTGAGATTTAGTTATTCCAGTGCAACTCGGTGGTTGCCTGTCAACCCATAGGGCTTCCTTCAGACTGATATTTTCCATTCCAATTCCTCAGTATTGACGCTACTTTATACACCTGTAGGAAGCGTTTCTTCTGCTCTACTTACCCGCATGCAGATTTGGTTTTGATTTCAATCCTGGTCGAGTTTCAGCATAGAAAATGGTGGTATGTCAAGTCGACGAAAAGGAACACTTCCGGCACCTTCTGCTGTTCACCTTCAACCAAGGATCGAGTGCCACAAAAGCCGGCAGGCAACCACCGAGTTGCACTGGAATAACTAAATCTCAAAATTAAACGAGACAAGCTTTTAGGGAACCTAAATGTGGAATGTTTAGTAGAGGTTATGAGTAAGTTATAGTTACATTATTGATTGATTTCTTCTAGGGAAGTATAAAGTTTAGGTCAGCTGTCGGTTTGGCGAAAATTCGTCGTCCGGAGCTCCCACTTTGCATGCCTAAAACTCAAACAATTTGCAACAATCAAAAAAAGGGTACATACCTTCTTGTAGAGCAGATAATTTCCTATCGAATGGTATATGAAACATTGTAAAACATTAGAGGTTCACAAGAAAAATTTCCGTTTGAAAAAATGCGCCACTACTTATGAGACAACCTAATACAATAGAACTTCAGAGGTGGAGGCATGGGGTGTCCCGCTCCAAGTATTCATCAAATTAGTTCCGTTGATACAACCGCCTGTTTCTATTATTTTCACAACAATGCCTGGGTTGCGAACTAAGAGCTTTTGTCTCCATATGAATTTTGAAGACCCGCAGCCCTCGTTTCCGGACAAGTAGCTACCGCGTTACGCTACCGGGGATTTACTTGTTTCCACTCTATGCGAGATGATAATTCCACATCTTGATCTTGAATGTAAGCTGAAGTACAGCTCAGTTCAAGATTAAATCTTACGAGGAGCAGCAGGCTCTGCAAGTGCGTAGAACGGCTCTAATTCTGTGCGGAAAATCGGTCCGCTCTTCGTTCAGACGTGATCTACTACTTCAGACAGGCAAAAAAAGTTCGAGAAATTTCTTGGAAAAACTTTGTCGACTCTAAAAAGGAACTTTCCTGGTCGCTGAATCTGACTTTACTGAGTCACTTAAAAACTTCACAAATCAAAATTCAGACCAAAGAAAATCCAGAAATAAAGAGAAAACTGGAACGGACAAGGTAGGGAAGGGATCGATCTGTTTAACGTCGCCTTTAACACATTAACCCAATCTTGAAATTACGGCCTGCGTAAGTGAAATGATGAAACGCGTCCATACGCCATTCGCGATGTGCTGACAAGACCACGAGCTGCGGAACTTCGGACGATTCAAAATATTCAGCAGTATAGAGTCGATCTTAAGGCAAGGGATTACGATAGGATTGTGTATGGTTCATAGTGGAAGCGAAGATGCCGAATAATACCCTAGGGGCGAAAAAACAAGATAGATCCATTGACAAAAATGCGTATATATATGGGACTCTATGCCCGTTGGCCACGAAAAACGCATACCAGCCAAACAAAACGATCTATACTCGGTTGATTGAGAAAGGAATTCATAATGGGAAAAGTATAGGATCCCTTTCGAAGTGCGTGCTTATCAAAATGAATAGCTAACCAGCGACCTGCTGATGGCGGGCAAAGAGCAAACGGTGGCGGACTCAGAAAAGATTGGCCGCTCCCAGGATTCGCAGGAGCGCAACCTTTTGTTGCCATACGAAAAAACTCCATTCCTGTTTCTTTCCCTTCCCACAGCTCATTCGCGAAGTTTTTGTTGAGGTGTTGATGGACGAAAGTGGAGCAAAAACAATTGATTAGACTTTAGGTTGGCTTATATACATATAGAGGAACCAACACTCTTCCAATACACAGTGCTATTTCACCGCTTCTCGTTGTAGTGCGAATAGCATAAAATGGTAGCATATAGTTATGGTAATGCAAAAAGATAAAATGTAAAGTCACGTCACAGGATGCAAATTGGGACGCAATCCATGTTCGCTATTATAAATTCGACAATCGACAACTGGTTTTCTTTTGGCACAAATTTCTTCTCCTTTTCCGTGGAATTTACAAAAGTTTCCGCGCAAGGAAGGATTGCCAAAGGATTGTTGTGTTTGGAGATTTGCGTGAAAAGAATTATCAGCCGAGAGTGCTTTTGGATGTGTGTATGCGTTCGTTTGTCACAATCACAATCATAGCGCGCTTCACTGTAGCAACTATTGAGTACATAAATATCCCCTAATTCCAAGTGGTATGTAAGCCCGCACAACTCCTGTTTCAACCAAATTTGGTATGAACTTCCTTATAGAACTTACTCGGTGTCCTGATCACGAATATGACGCTCGCCTGCACAAAACAACCCCTATGCAAAAGTATTAGGTTGTAGGGAAAGTCCTTGCGGTTTTCAAAAAATCTTTTTTTTAACCTGCTAAACGCCTGCCAGCAACTTGGCTCGTGCATATATAAGGAGAACATATATGTGCAAGTTCAGTATAATTATTAGCTATTACCTGTAGCTTATCACGTTTCTGCAATATGCAACTTTCACAACAGTACTTTCATGACCTTTTACTATACGGGTTGATATTTGGCGAATCAGCAGCCTAATCCAGACGTCGCATTGATGCTGCGTGTGGAGAACGTAGGGTATCCGAATGCACTGCACAAGGTTGGTCTGAACGCTTCCGCGAGGGAGACTCCAAGCTTGAAAGTTCCACTTGATCGGGACGTGAACTCGAAGTCGACAATGATCGTTTGCGTAAGCTGGTGTGGGC